AAGGATGTACTTTCTTATCACTTCTTTTCAACATTGTACTACTGCAAGCCTTAGTAATGTAATAAGACAAGAAGAGAAGTAAAGGGTATACAGATTGTTAAAGAATAAATAAAATTATTTTTGTTAGTAGATGTCATGATCTTTTCCTTAGAAAATCCAAAAGAACCAAAAAACAATTCCTGGCCTGGTGTGGTGGTACACACTGTAGTCCCAGCAGCTCAGGAGGCTGAGGCAGGAAGATCAAAAGTTCAGAGCCAGCCTCAGCAACTTACCAAGATCTTGAGCAAATTTAGCAAGATGGTGTCTCAAAAAAAACAAAAAAAAAAAAAGAAAAGATCTTTGGGAATGTGGCTAAGTGGTTGAGCGCCTCTGGGTTAAATCCCTAGGACCAAAACAAAACAAAAAATAACAACTCCTGTAACTAATAAACAATTATGAAAATATTGCAGGATACAAGGTTAAAGTACAAAAAGCTAGTCACTTTCCTATATACTAGCAATGAGAAAGTGGAATTTGAAATTTAAAACATGAAACATTTATATTAGCACCCCCAAAATGAAATACTTATGTATACATTTAACAAAATATGTACAAAATCCCTGTGAGTAAAACTACAAAATTTAGATGAAAACAATCAAAGGATAATGAAATACATGGACAAATATTTCAGGTTCATGGATAATATTGTCAAGATGTCAGTTTTTCATCTTGATTTGTAATTTAATGCAATCCCAATCAAAATCCCAGCAAGTTATTATATGGGTATTGACAGACTGATTGTAAAGTTTATATGGAGAATCATTAGGTTGAAGAACTGGCACTACTTAACTTCAAAACCTATTATAAAGTCACAGTAATCTAGACACTATGGTGTTGGCAAAAGAGTAGACATTTAGATCAATAGAATAGAACAGGGAGCTCAGAGACAGATCCACATAAATATAGTAAATTGATTTTTGACAAAATAGCAAAGTCAATACAACAAAACAAAGATAGTCTTCAAAAAATGGTACTGAAATAGCAACACATGGTGGTGCATGCCCATAATCCCAGCAATTCAAGAGGCTGCTGCAGGAGGATTGCAAGTTTGAGGACAGCCTCAGCAATATAGAGACCCTATCTCAAAATAAAAGAGAGTTGGCTCAGTGATAAAACACCCCTGGGTTCAATTCCCAGTACCAAAAAAAAAAAAAAAAATCTAGATACAGATCTTCATAAAAATTAATGTGAGCTGGATATGGTGGCATATATCTGTAATCCCAGCAATTTGGGAGTTTAAGGCAGTAGGATTATTGGAGGCCTGGGCATTTTAGTGAGCCCCTATCTCAAAATAAAACATAATGTGATTCAGTAATATGGCATCCCTGGTTTCAGCCTCCGTTATTGAAAAAAAAAAAATTGAATTAGAGGCCTAAATGTAAAAAGTATAGAACTAGGAGAGAAACCCAAGATAACTTTAGATATTGTGATAACTTTTTAGATACCACACCAAAATCATGATTCATATAAGAAATGATGAAATCGCTGAGCTATAATCCCAGCAGCTCGGGAGGCTGAAACAGGAGGATCTTGAGTTCAAAGCTAGCCTCAGCAATGGAGAGGTGCTTAGCAACTCAGTGAGACCCTGTCTCTAAATCAAATACAAAATAGCACTGGGGACATGGTTCAGTGGCTGAGTGCCCCTGAGTTCAATCCCCAGTACTCCCCCCAAAATGGTGATGTTGAAGTTGAGTAAGGTGGTATACACCTGTGATCTCAGCGACCCAAGGCTGAGGCAGGAAGATCACAAGTGAGAGAGCAGCCTCAGCAATTTAGCCAAACCCTGTCTCAAAATAAAATAAAAAGGGCTAGGGTTGTGACTCAATGGTGGAGGTCTCCTGGGTTCAACCCCCAGTACCACTACTAAGAAAAAAAAAATGATGTTGAACCATATTTATTGGCATACAAAGATATCTCTGATTCTATTAAAAAAATATTTTTTAGTTGTAGATGGACACAATACCTTTATTTATTTTTATGTTGTGCTGAGGATTGAACCCAGTGTCTCACATGTGCTAGG